TTTCCAGTTTCCTTTCATTACCTCTTTCAAATGTGATCCCTCCAAACCAGGTGTTGGCACTACGAGGCCTATGAACTAACTGGCCTGCTTCCTCTTTCTGTGAATGAGGGTTTACTGGAATGTTCCATGCTTATTAGTTTTTGTATTTGCTACTGTGGCTACTTAGGCATATAACCCATGAAACCTAAAAGATTTACCACCTTTTCCTTCACAGAAAATGTTCTCTGACCTGCTGTAAGTCTTCCATGATCTGTTTGTAGTTTCAGCTACCTGCAGGGTAATCTGTTCCACTCAGAGCTTCCCTGTGTCTACCCTTTGCTTTCTAGGAGCTGCAGGCCTCCACTGCACGGGGTGCTCCTCTCTGCTCTGCTACACCCCTTCTCTGCTTACCTGTGTGCTTCCCATTGTACAGAAACATCTCCTGGACTGAGCAGACAGGAGCAACCTCTTAGTCTCCTCTGTTACTCTCAAAGCCTAAAGGTGCCCACATTCACCTGATGCCCAATGTTTATTAAATAAATAAGTTGAGCTGGGTCTGGTGGCATACACCTGTAATCCCAGTGGCTAGGGAGGGCGAGGCAGGAGGAGTTTAAAGCCAGCCTCAGTAACTTAGTGAGATTTTGAGCAACTCAGCGAGATCCTGTTGCTAAATAAAAATATGAAAAAGGGCTAGGGGCTTGGCTCAGTGGTTATGTGCCCTGGGTTTAATCCTCAGTATCAAAAGTAAATGAATAAATAAGTAAATAAATACATAAACTAAGTAAGCTAACTACATCCCTTAGTCACAGTATAAAGCAAAATTTATATAAATAGTTTATCTGAGACTCTGAACAGAAACACTTCTCAAAGCCACTTCTTCTAATTATAAAAGCATCTTAAGAAAGAATTTTGCCTTTATATTTATACCTCCTTTAAGCTCATATGAGATTAGTTTACATTAAAAATAAATTTAGATCTCTCAGTTCATATCCAGCATTCGTTCAAACCGGTCACATATTAAGGATAAACATCTTTGAATTAGAAAGAAAAATTGCAGATTATTCCAATTTTGTGTGTGATGGAAAATTCATATCTCAGTATTGTTGGGGTCTTAGTATTCAGAGGTGGCTGATAGGAGCACTTGGTTTATCATTTATTCACTCTTCCAGTAGTAAGTATTCCTACGTGTCTCTGGTGTTCTAGGCACTGATGAAAGAATTAAAAAGAAAAAAAAAAAGACAAAGTGTGTCCTCTTGTGGAGATGGTTCATTTGACTATGTAATTGCCAACCCCAAACTAGCAGCGTGGCTCTGGGAAGGGTTATCAGAGAATTGTATGAGCGAGTAACTGGGGAGTCATTTACATTGTGATCATAGACTATTTCTCTGAGGAGTGTCATTGGAATTGGAATCTGAATAAAAAGGAATGGAATTCTGGACAGAGAAATCAGCCCCAACAAAGGATTCCACACTAGGAAGGAACCTAGTGTGTTTGAGGAACAGAAGGAAGGCAGACATGGCAGGTGCAAAGTGTGCAAAGGAAAACGGGATAACGGGGAGGTTTGGGAGGCAGGTGGGCAGCAGGCAGAATGAGGCCTGTGGCACAGGCTCTTTTCTGCTCTGGGTTTAAAGCATCTGAGAGAAGATGATTGATCCTTGCTTTTTGAGACTCCTCCTCATTGGGCCCCAGGGAGGGTGTTGGATACTGTGTCTGCTGCTGGCCAGCTCAGCTGCTTGCATGAGCTCCAGAGCCTGACTCTGAGTGACTCTAGACCAATGTAACCCCTGTGGGCAAGTCCCGAGGAGCCTACCTGTTGTGGTCACTTCCATGTTGAGTTGTCTACTTGCCCATTCTCTGGGCACCAACCAAACAAAGATGATGATCACACAACAGTAACACAAGTAAACACCCCTGAAGTTCTTTTTATTTCATCTAATTATCATTTGCACATAAAAATGTGTATTATATGCAAATAAGGTGACTCTTAACAAAGGGTTAGATTGTAAGGAATATATGTGTCAGGACAATGTTGTACAAAATTGTTGGTGCAGAGTATTCACCTAAATGAAAGTGCATTGAGGCTGTTGAATGTTTTTTGTGACACAGAGGACTACTATTAATGGTCAATGAAAGTAATAAATGTGAATATGATATGACTCTGGGATGGGTAAACCAAGGACAAAGCATGTGGCAAATTCAGGTACTTTTACTTAATTCTTAAAATATCTTGAGCCACTAACTTTATATCAAGCCAGGTCTTCACATCAGGCAAGTAGAAATAAAAAAGATTTTTTTGTGTGTGTGTATGGCATTAAAGAAAAAAAATGGTTATTTCTGATATTACTAAATTGACATTAGAATCACCAGTTTTCACAGTAGCAATTGTTTTAAGTAAAATGTTGTCCCTTCCTCCACCTGGTTGCTGTGCAGGGACAGAGCCTAACCCAGCAACTATGGCTATTGTTGGAAGCTTGCCTGGTTGTCATCTGGCTGTGGTTTGGTGCAGTCAGGGACAAAGAGAGGGTGTGAAGGAAAGCAGGGAGGAGGAAGATGGCTTTGAGTCCCTTTTAACAAAGAAAAAGTAACTCAGAGAGGGAGTGGAGGCTAGCAATCTGCTAAAAGGAAATGAAAGGAAATTCTTCATTTCTAAACGGTTCATTGACCCATGATAATAAAGCAACCCTGCTAAAGAAGGATAATTATCTTTTTAAGTATCAGATGCCCTGTGGGTGAAGGCCTCCCTTCTCTTCTCTTAAAAAATGAACTCAAATTTAACAAATGCCTCTTTTCCTAGTTTACTGTTGATGTGAATTTCCTGATTATGAGCTAAAGAATCAGTTTCCCCCTCCTTTCTCTCCCCAGTACTCCACCTTATGGAAATCTGGCCTGCCCAGCTGAGCTGAGTGCATTTCCCCTGGGTCCCAAGTTCTACCAATAGTGTGATGGGTTAAAGCGCTTGATATTCTGGTGAGGCCAGCAATTGTATGATTGTGGTTTTATGAGGCCCCGTTCTTGCTTAGCTCCAGGCAGCAGCATGCTTTCTTAAAACAACAGGGAAAAAAGGAAAAAGAAAGGAACAGAAAACAAGTCCAGGAGTGCTTCTTTTCTCCTTCTGGTATCTGGAAATTAAACAAATATTAATATACGTTGTATGTGTGTTCACACAGACAACCGCTTCTTAAGATGGTTTGACTTAACAATTTTTCAGCTTACAGTAGTGTGTAAGCCAACCCACACAACCACTCTGTTTTTTTTTTCATTTAGCAAGTATTCTATAAGTGACATGAAATATTCAGTGTTCTCTTTTACAATAGACTTTGTGTTGAGTGATTTTGCCCTACTGTAGGCAAATATGCATTCTAAGTGCATTTAAGACAGGCTAGCCTCAACTATGGCATTCAATAGGTTAGGTATATGAACTGCATTTATTACACGATATTTTCAGTTTAGGATATTTTCAGCTTACAATGGACTTATTGGGGTGTAACCCCATCATAAGTTGAGCAACATCTGTACGTATATACAGACAGAGACACATACATATGTTTGCATATACATGTGTGGACATATGTATGTCATGAATTCAAATAGAAAAAGGAACTGAAAGGTTATTGATGGTGTAATAGTGAATATTAGTTTGCTACTGAGAAGTGATTAAACTTACATTCTTTTTGTTATAACTCAGATCAATAATGTAAATATGTTGCCTTGTCTGGCTTACAGAATGCATTAAGATGGTTTCTTTTGTATGAACAGACAACTTTTTTTATGATTTACCCTCAAATATCTTTTTATAAAAATGTTTTGATCTTAAGTAAAATAAAAGTGTATCATAGTTATACATAATAGTGCATTATAGTTATATATAATAGTGGGGTTCAGTTTGACATATTCATAAATACATACCAGTACTTCCTCTGACCCTCCTCACCTCCCTCCCCCAGCCTTTTCCTCTATTGTGTTGGTCTTCCTTCTACGTATTTATTTTTAATTGGACATATATAATTGGAATGCATTTTGAAATAGTCGTACATGCACATATCATAATCTGATCAACCTCACTCCCCACTTCTTCCCCTTTCCCTTCTGTCCTCCCTCCCCCCACTCTACTAATCACCCTTCTATTTTCATGAGATCATAAATCCTATTTTATAAGAAAGTATTGATTTCATGTAATGTATTTAAAACTACACCGAAAGTGAGAAATGGTGGTTATATGGATACGCTTTCATACCATCATAAAGTCAAGAAATCCTAAGTCAAATCATCGTAATAGCATTGTAATGTGGTTACTTTATAGTGATTAGGAGGCCCTGTGGACTTTTTTTTATATAGAAGTGTTTCACTTTTTAAAAAATTTTGTTTTTTTTTAAATATACATGACAGTCAAATGTCTTTTTAGACTCTGAATAATCATCGGTCTGATTAAATCATAAATGGCTTAATAATATGGGACATCTGTTAGTTGTAGATGAAGCTCACTGTACATTTTCAGAATGTCTACCCACCTTTCAAAATAAAATCGGCTCCCCTCAGAAGTTCATTATGTATTTCTGTTATTTCTCTAAAACAAAACTTAACATTAAAATTTTAATCTCGATGTTCTACCTAGAGAAAGCTCCTGGATATTCCACTTATTTCTGCAACATAGTGCCTTTGGCTGCTGGAGAGGACAGAGGTTTAGAATAGGGGTCAGGAGATAATAGTCCAGAATAGATCTTACCTCCTGGTATAATTATCTCAGCAAGCACCAGAATCACTCTGTACCCTAATGTTCCTTCTCTTAAAAGAAATTTCTTCTGTGCACCACAGCTTCTCCTTTGAAGTATAACTAACCATGTTTTTAAGCTCTCTTTGCACTCTTTGGTGTGCAGTCGCTGGTAAATATTTGTTTCTTCATTCCTTAGTCTTTGAATGTTCTGGCCCTGGGTCAAGGGGGGATGCAATACTGTGGGTATAAGCTGCTCGGTAAGAACACCACCCAAAGCAAGCCTGGTGTGCCTTAACCGACCTTGCTACAGATGTTCTCGTGTGCCCACTGCGGCCAGTGGAGCGCTTCCAAGATCTGCATCCTGATGAAGTGGCCGATTTGTTTCAAGTGACCCAGAGAGTCGGGACAGTGGTGGAGAAGCATTTCCAGGGGACCTCTCTGACTTTTTCCATGCAGGTGAGTATACAGGTTGCTCAAAATTGACTTTTTTCTTCCTCTTTAAGTGCTAGTATTGGGCTTTCTACCTCCAACATGACATCCCACCAGGAAGGCAGCTCTGGTTTTCTCCATTTACATAATGACACAAAATTATATTACTAATCCAGGGCAACTCTATAGTCCATTGGCCTCAAGATGGACTGTGGAATGTTATTAGGGGCAGTGCCTGTACCATTGTTTGCAAAGCAGATGGGAGTAATGGACAAAGGATGTAATGCGCATTAAGATATTCCAGAGCTTATATTGGAACTGGTATTTTCTTGCCATGGTAAATGTTGTGAGCACTGCCTGACCTGAGCCCTGTTCTAGTTTCCAGGGAGCAGTGATAAGAAAGTTGGGTTGAACCTTGTCCTCATAAGGCTTGTCTTTTATATTTTCCTGCCTTCAATGCAAGCTCAACTGATTGATGACATATTGGTACATGCTAGATTGATTGATTGGGTATGGCCCACCCACACCATACCCAAAGAGATCCCCAATCACAGGAGAGCTTTAGGCAGAAGTTGAATCAGTACTTCTCAGGTTTGAAGGAGGAAGTCCATAATGAGTTAACAGCTGGGAGGTGAGTGAATCAGTAGTAAGGTACCATGAGCCTCTTCAGATCAAATAAGGAGAGGGCTGATGTATTAGTGCATACACAAAGTCCTCTGTGACTCTGAAATTTAATATTTTGAAACCTGCCCTCTAGAAGGCATCTGATTCTTCCAAAATATGGAGACTCTGTCCTCAGACTTTTAGTTAAACTGCATGTTTACCTCCTTAGCTCTCTGCCATAGATTTTCACAGAGAACTATTAAAGCCTTTGACTAAAAATGTTCCTGTGCTTCTTAGGGGAAAAAATGCTGTTTGTTTGAACTGATAGTATCTAAAGTTCCCCCCAAATATTGTGCATATGTGTGTGTCTGTTGTATGATAAACCATTTAAGTCACCTTTGGGCAAGGTACTTCAGCTCAAGGTGGGTTTATCAAGCTTATGTTGTAAACTTGGTTTCCAGAAAGACCAAGTAAAATGGGTGAAAACATCTGTAAGTGTTCAGTGAAATAACAGAGGAAAATTCATGATTATAGGAAATACCAGCGCTGCTTATTTAACATGGTTCAACAGAAAGTGAATTCTATAACAAATGATATATCCCTTACAGCATTTTCATACTGTAAGTGTTGTCAAACTTACTTTTTTAACTATAACCCACAGTGTATATATATATATATATATATATTTTTTTTTTATTTCATGATTACATATATTATTCCCCATACATACAGCTATATAGGCGCGAAAAACAAAAGAGTTTCTCGAAACAGTGCTTATCATTCTGTGCATTCTAAAAGTCTCTGTCCTATCACTCTGTGCTCTCTTTATTTCTTCATATTGGTTGCAATGTATTAAATTGACTTCATGTCCCACTAATATGTTGTGACTCTGGGTTTGGAAAGCACTGATGGACATAGGTATGCTTCTGGTCACATCAGGGCAGGAATTCTCCCACCAATCATCAGGTTTATAGAGGGAGACAGAATTAGCCAAGCCATGGTTGTTCCATTTTGTATAGTCTCATTGTAGACAATGAGTTTCTTGTGCTGTGCTCTGGTGATCAGGTAGGTATGCTGGTTTTCAATCAAGACAGTAGTTTTGTTGGACATCAGAAGCTGGGAGAGAGAACCAGGATGGGGAAAAAGAATCCTGCTGCAATGAACACTCTCATTTTCTTCCCCAAGGTCAGAATAGCCAGAAAGGACTCCTCCCCCACAAAACACCCCATATTCTTGCTTAATGGATTATGATTACAGCAGATTTCCTGAGGAGAGACTTAAAGTAATCAGGCATTAATTAAACCACATCTGATTTAAAGATAACCAAAAGGTGTGATACTTCACCTCCCCAAACATTTTCAACCTTCTTTTAATGCAATTAAAACCATTGCCAAGAGCAAAGAGCATGAAAAGCAGCAAGGGGGTTGGCTTACTGGATAATTTATGTCATTTTTATACATAACTTCTCACTTACTCTCGGGCGGAAATGGAGAACTGTCTGGTCCCACACATTGGAATCAAATGGTCCCCATGAGAATGCTATAAATTAACACACAATGAAATTGGATCTAAATTATTAACGGGTGATATTTCTGAATAAGCATGAGATACCATCTATCTGTTCTCACTTCTGCTGGTTTTTTTTTTCTTCCCCTTCTTCCAGGATGGCCCTGAAGCCGGACAGACTGTGAAGGTGAGTGCTTATTATGTGCATACAAATTAATAAGGGGCAATTATGGGAACTAATAAAAAATCACAACGAGTCATTTGCAGCACATTGCTATTTCATTATGTTATCTTCGAGGTCAGAGAGACCCTCAGTGTTGGAGCCATAAATCCTGACATTATAAACTGTGCCAAACAGTATGTTTCCCATTAGTTTACAAGACATTTACCTTTTTGTAGTAAAATTATTACTGTGCAAAAGCTAAAACAGCAACTAAATCAAGGAGTCCAAAACCAGAAACTGAAGTCCATGGTTTCTTGGCAGGGATTGCATAAACACAGCACATCAGCTCCGCGTGGACTGCGTGTGTTCCACGGTAAGCCCGGGGCACCTTTGACGTGCTTTTAGTTCTTCACACACTCTGCCTTTTTTTCATGTTCTTGAGCGGAAGAACAAGGTTGCGGTGGCCCCAGGTGGCTTCCTTCCCTGCTGGCAGTGCTTACACTGTTCTCTGCACCCCCACACCTATTCCTTTCCTCCTTAGGTACTTAAATACCAAAGTTCAAACCAGTGGAGCTCAAAAATTGGTCTTTAAGTGTGCTAGAGAGGAAAGGAGGATTTATTAGGATAGTATCTGACTCCATAGTAAAAAGACTAAACTCCTGGCTGATTGTGAAGCTGAGTTTCAGCTACTTTCATACAAATGCAAATTTCTATGGAGTTAAGTCCTATGCCTAAGTCCTATATAGAAAAGGCTATTTTTGCTTTTTCTTGTTTTTGCTAAAAAAATAGAGGCAAATCAGACTACTATGCTAATGTTATGCTTTGTAAAAGGTTTTATGACTCCAAAGCTGGCTGGGACTAGGCAGCATAATGTTTGGCACCAAACTACACCAAATGAACATGGTTCCTTTTTCATCTTAGTTTGTATATCACTTTAATGTTTAACATATATACTGTGGAAGTTTTAAAATAGAATGTCTGGGAAGTGCCTTTGAGGAGTTAATGTCTCAAAGGAACTGCCACCAAATGTGCCACCAAATTCTTAGTCACTCCTGCATTGCTTTAGACACATGATGTTCTCATAGGGACAGAGGGGACATTCAGCTTGCATCAATACTTCTGCCTCCCTCCATGACAGAATCCCAAATGTGCAGACTCTAAAACGGGATATAATACCAGTGGCTTCTTAGTGAAACCTATTCTTGAAATACAAAATACAAATGTTTAAACCTGGTTACCAGAGTTTCAAAAACTCAGTATTCAAATGTGTATTCCAGTCACACTGGATGAGATGCTTTATGCAATATCTGTCTGATAGAATTCCTTTAGCCACTGAAAGTGAGAGTGTAGGGGTATAGCTAATCGTGGAAGAATGCACAAATCACATTCAGTGGATTGCACAGATTGGTAATACACATATATTGAGCATAACTGAAATTTATATGAATAGATAGGTTATATGATCTCAACATTATATTTCAGAATTCTGAAAGGGGTGTTAAAATATTTGCTATACAAACAGGTTCAAATAGAGACAGAAAGTATATTAGTGGCTTCCAGGGACTGAGGGGAAGAGTGAATTGGGGATGAGTCCAAATGGGTATAGGTCTCTTTTGGTGGTAATGAAAATGTTGTGGAATTAGTGGTGCTTGTACAACACTGAGTATAATAAACCCCACTGAATTGCAACCTTTAAAAGGGTGAATTTATGGTGTTTGGATGATGTCTTGATTAAAATAAAACACATTTGATAAAAATAAGCATTGTGTCTAACTAGGCTGAGAGCCATAGCTATAGACTCTCATGACTCCAATAGCAACAACTTTTTGATGTTCCAGTTATCTGACCAAAATCTCCTCATGATTTTATTAGCTTTGATGGAAATTGTGATGGTTCATTCTTTTTTTTATTGGTTTTTCAAAACATTACAAAGCTCTTGACATCATATTTCATACATTAGATTCAAGTGGGTTATGAACTCCAATTTTTACCCCAAATACAGATTGCAGAATCACATCAGTTACACATCCACATTTTTACATAATGCCATATTAGTAACTGTTGTATTCTGATACGTTTCCTATCTTCTACTATCCCCCCTCCCCTCCCATCCCATCTTCTCTCTCTACCCCATCTACTGTAATTCATTTCTCTCCTTGTTTTTTCCCATTCCCCTCACAACCTCTTATATGTAATTTTGTATAACAATGAGGGTCTCCTTCCATTTCCATGCAATTTCCCTTTTCTCTCCCTTTCCCTCCCACCTCATGTCTCTGTTTAATGTAAATCTTTTCCTCCTGCTCTTCCTCCCTGCTCTGTTCTTAGTTGCTCTCATTATATCAAAGAAGACATTTGGCATTTGTTTTTTAGGGATTGGCTAGCTTCACTTAGCATAATCTGGTCTAATGCCATTCATTTCCCTGCAAATTCTATGATTTTGTCATTTTTTAGTGCTGTATAATACTCCATTGTGTATAAATGCCACATTTTTTTTTATCCATTCATCTATTGAAGGGCATCTGGGTTGGTTCCACAGTCTAGCGATTGTGAATTGTGCTGCTATGAACATCGATGTAGCAGTATCCCTGTAGTACGCTATTTTAAGGTCTTCAGGGAATACTCCGAGAAGGGCAATAGCTGAGTCAAATGGTGGTTCCATTCCCAGCTTTCCCAGGAATCTCCATACTGCTTTCCAAATTGGCCGCACCAGTTTGCAGTCCCACCAGCAATGTAAAAGAGTACCCTTTTCCCCACATCCTCTCCAGCACTTGTAGTTGTTTGACTTCATAATGGCTGCCAATCTTACTGGAGTGAGATGGTATCTTAGGGTGGTTTTGATTTGCATTTCTCTGACTGCTAGTGATGGTGAGCATTTTTTCATGTACTTGTTGATTGATTGTATGTCCTCCTCTGAGAAGTGTCTGTTCAGGTCCTTGGCCCATTTGTTGATTGGGTTATTTGTTTTCTTATTGTTTAATTTTTTGAGTTCTTTGTATACTCTGGATATTAGGGCTCTATCTGAAGTGTGAGGAGTAAAAATTTGTTCCCATGATGTAGGCTCCCTATTTACCTCTCTTATTGTTTCTCTTGCTGAGAAAAAACTTTTCAGTTTAAGTAGGTCCCATTTGTTGATTCTTGTTATTAACTTTTGTGCTATGGGTGTCCTATTAAGGAATTTGGAGCCCGACCCCACAATATGTAGATCGGAGCCAACTTTTTCTTCTATCAGACGTAGAGTCTCTGATTTGATATCTAGCTCCTTGATCCACTTTGAGTTAACTTTTGTGCATGGCGAGAGGAGGGGATTCAGTTTCATTTTGTTGCATATGGATTTCCAGTTTTCCCAGCACCACTTGTTGAAGATGCTATCCTTCCTCCATTGCATGCTTTTAGCTCCTTTATCAAATATAAGATAGCTGTAGCTTTGTGGATTAGTTTCTGTGTCCTCTATTCTGTACCATTGGTCCACCCACCTGTTTTGGTACCAGTACCATGCTGTTTTTGTTACTATTGCTCTGTAATATAGTTTTAAATCCGGTTTTGCTATACCACCTGATTCACACTTCCTGCTTAGAATTGCTTTTGCTATTCTTGGTCTTTTATTTTTCCATATGAATTTCATGATTGCTTTATCTATTTCTACAAGAAATGCCATTGGGATTTTGATTGGCATTGCATTAAACCTATAGAGAACTTTTGCTAATATCGCCATTTTGATGATGTTAGTTCTGCCTATCCATGAACAGGGTATATTTTTCCATCTTCTAAGATCTTCTTCTACTTCTCTTTTTAGGGTTTTGTAGTTTTCATTGTATAAGTCCTTCACCTCTTTTGTTAGGTTGATTCCCAAGTATTTTATTTTTTTTGAGGATATTGTGAATGGAGTGTTTTTCCTCATTTCCGTTTCAGAAGTTTTGTCACTGATATACAGAAATGCCTTTGATTTATGCATGTTGATTTTATATCCTGCCACTTTGCTGAATTCATTTATTAGTTCTAGTAGTTTTTTTGTAGACCCTTTTGGGTCTTCTAGGTATAGAATCATGTCATCTGCAAATAGTGATAATTTAAGCTCTTCCTTTCCTATTTTTATGCCTTTAATTTCTTTCGTCTAATTGCTCTGGCCAGTGTTTTGAGAACTATATTGAATAGAAGTGGTGATAGAGGGCATCCCTGTCTTGTTCCAGATTTTAGGGGGAATGCCTTCAATTTTTCTGCATTGAGAATGATGCTAGCCTGAGGCTTAGCATATATAGCTTTTACTATGTCGAGGTAAGTTCTTGTTATTCCTAGTTTTTCTAATGTTTTGAACATAAAGGGATGCTGTACTTTGTCGAATGCTTTTTCTGCGTCTATTGAGATGATCATATGGTTCTTTAAGTCTATTGATGTGGTGAATAACATTTATTGATTTCCGTATATTGAACCATCCTTGCATCCCAGGGATGAATCCTACTTGATCATGGTGCACAATTTTTTTGATGTGCCTTTGTATCCGATTCGCCAGAATTTTATTGAGGATTTTTGCATCTAGGTTCATCAGAGATATTGGTCTGTAGTTTTCTTTCTTTGAGGTGTCTTTGTCTGGTTTCGGAATCAGGGTGATGTTGGCCTCATAGAATGAATTTGGCAGAGCTCCCTCTTTTTCTATTTCCTGAAATAGCTTGAAAAGTATTGGTATTAATTCTTCCTTAAAGGTTTTGTAAAACTCCACTGTATACCCATCCGGTCCTGGGCTTTTCTTGGTTGGAAGTCTTTTGATTGCTTCTTCTATTTCATCTATTGATATTTGTCTGTTTAAGTTGTGAGTATCCTCCTGACTCAGTCTGGGCAAATCATATGACTTAAGGAATTTATCGATGTCTTCACTATCTTCTATTTTATTGGAATATAGGTTTTCAAAATAATTTCTAATTGTCTTCTGTATTTCTGTAGCGTCTTTTGTGATATTGCCTTTTTCATCCCGTATGTTAGTAATTTGAGTTCTCTCTCTTCTTCTCTTCGTTAGCATGGCTAAGGGTCTG